AACCAGAACAACTAATTTTTACTCTCATGGACTTTTTTAATAGTCATAAACATAAAAACACATCATTTCTACAAGATTACCCAGCATTCCTTGCTGACAGAATACTGGTCTGTCTGAGGTGGAAGAGGGCGGGGCTTTACAGAATACTTCTTTCAACACTGTATGGTGTCATATAACAACACTGCCAAGTGTTATATAAGACTTAACARTGGGCAGAGTTTATTTAACACTGTCCAGTGTTGAGACGACACTGAGTAAATCAACACTGGGAATTAACACCATGGGTGTCAGCTTACTAAGAAAGTGTTAAAATAACACTAGAGGGTGTTAAATCAACACCCAATAGTTTTAAATTTAACTCTCCTGTTTTTGCTGTGTGCCTTCATTTACCCATTCACACAGCCCTCTATTAGGTTGCTACAAAGCTAACGTACAATCATCTATGGAGAATAATCACATTCATACACTGATGGGACACACATCAGAGGTATTAGGGGTGAAGTGTCTTGCCCAGGGATAAAACAACTGAGACAGATGTACAGGGGATTGAACTGGCAACCTTACGGTTCCAGGACGACTACCTCTGTCACAGGCAACCCCAAGAACTGCAGGTCCTGATCCAGGTAGGTGATTAAAGCAGAAACAGGCAGGAGAAGTGAATTAATGAGTTCTGGTGCATTTGTGCATGCGGGGGTCATTATGTTACCGCTATGCGGTATCTAGTTCACTTTAATGTGCAGCGCTCACAAACCTCTTCCTGACCTGACGTGTTGGCAGCTGTCAGTCAGTCATCAAAGTACACATCCCAAAACTTACAATACACATTCTGATTGGTCAGACCATGTGAGCTCGTCTGGGTTACTATTAGTTTGAACCAATCAGCGGCCACAAAGATGCATCTGTAATGACTGACAGGAGTGACTCAGCTCTGAACGCACCACAGGAATAAAAACAAATAAAACATTTTAAGAAACAAGTGGACCTTTTCCCATTTCCCTCAGCTGACCACAGGCCCGCTCCTGGGTTTATTTTTCAGCATGAGGAATCCCATGTGAGGTGTATGTGCATGTGAAGACAGGAATATGTGTGAGTAATACATATTTGAGTACATCATTTCTGTATTGTTGCCAGTGTGCTATCATAGTTAACATTTTGAACATTTCCTAAGTTTACCAGGCTCTGACCTCTTCACTTTCAGAGACCAAAAGTTGCCACATTTTTAAAAGTATAGTTGTTTATCATAAAATATGTGTTTGCATTGATCGCATTAAACTTTTAGTTTGTATTAAACTACATAGAGTCAATAAGGCCATGTGTGTTGTCTGTCACAGCAGTAAAGTTAACTTGAAAGAACTTCTCAGCTACTTTGGTCAGATCTTTTATCATTTATTTTTCCAAAGACAAAGAAGAATTTTTCATATTTTTTAACTCATTGTTGTCTAGAATGTAAATATCACAACTATTTATTAGCCCTTTACAGTGTTATGCCTGCAAATGCAAACAAAAAGCAAGTATGGTAATGTTTCTTTATATTTGAGGAAGTAATGTAACTGTTCTTTATGTTTTAATATGTTAACTTCCTAACAGTTACTTTGTAGTAGATTTTATTTCTTGTAAATTGTTATCTGTTTTGTTTCTGTCTCAAACAACCAACATGACTGCACGGTGGCCTTCATCTGGTACTTAGTGACGACTCTAGAATTCTACAAAACATGCTTTGAAAATGTTCTATTCAGGCTTAAAACACAATTAGTTCTTATATGTTTATGTTTTATTTACATGAGAAATTCAAATGGCGTTGAAGGGAATGTCTGAAAAAAGAAGTGACTTTTGACAAATCACCCAGGTTCTCATTGTTACAAACAAAGAACCCAAAMGAAGAACCCAAATCTTTACAACATTGTGGATTCAGTCTCATTTTCTTTCAGGTATCCACAATGTCAAGAYCTCCTGATGACAAAGTCAAAGTCTCTCAGCGTACCATTGCTGCTGAGGTTGGACACTGTAAGACACAGTCATTTTAAACTTCTTCAAAGATCTCGAGGGTTATAGAACAAAAAGACAAGTGGTAGAACCAAAATAATTTCACCGGCCCTCAGCCAAAGGAACGAACTGGCTGTTCGTCAAGACACGTGACCATCCTCTGCCCTGAAGCTTGTCACTGGTGCCAACTGCAGTCCCATAACGATCAGACAGCATCTGTGAGAGAAGGGTTTTAAGAACAGAAAACATCTGCGAAGACCTTGTCTCCATCAAAGACCTCATCTCCTTCAAAGACCTCATCTCCTTCAAAGACCTCGTCTCCTTCAATGTTTGGAGTTTGCACAAGAGCGCCAAACATGGGACATTGATTTATGCTCTGATGAGAAAAAATTTACCCTTGGTGGTCCGGATGGCTTCCAATGTTACTGTCATGACAAGGGGATCCCACMTGAGATGTTTTCTACACGGCACAGTGGAGGGGGCTCCAACATGATCTGGGGGGTCTTTTTTCCTTCAATGGAACAATGGATCTTCATTTTGTGCAGGGGTGTCAAACAGCAGCTGGCTATGTGGAGATGTTACAGGGGTCTCCATCATAACTGAAGACCATCATCTGTGTGGTAATGACAGGTTTTTCAACAGGACAACGCTGTAGTTCACAATGTCCATCTGACAAAGGACTTCTTCCAGAGAATAACATCACTCTATTGGACAGTCCTGCATGTTTCCCTGATCTAAATCCAACTAAGAACATTTGGGGTTGGATGGTGAGGGATGTTTACAAAAAAAGTTCCAGATAGTGGATGTCCTCCATGAAGCCATCTTCACCACTTGGAGAAACGCTCTCTCTATCCTCCTGAAAACACTTATCAAGCTTGCCAAAACTAATTTTTGAGGTGGTTAATAAGGATGMAAGTCATCGATTAATGGATTAATCTAAAGTTGATTGATCTTATCGATCGACTAACGATTAATTGATAAGCTGCCATTTTCCTAAGAACCTGACATTTCTCTTGAACCAAGGGTTTTTCTATGACTTGAAGGGCTAATTTTTCACACTAAATAAAAGTACAGTATTATATCTTATAAAMTGTATTGTGCCAGCTGTATTAAACACTGACTGAATAAACAGAAAATTGTGGAAAAATAAGTGTGRATTTCTCACACAACTTGGACATATTTATAAAATATAAAAAAAAAACAGGAATTTATTGCGCAGCTCAACTCACAACAAGTCCACAATAGGGCAATGGTGTTGGGCCAGAGAGTGGAAGACCAGGGTTCGAGAGTGGCATGGACACAATTTATTTATTTTCGTTCGTTATGAACATGTTTTCTCATGTACCTCTATTGTTTAGCTTATTAAAGCCTTGTTAAAGCCTATTTGTTCGAGTTTCTGAGGTATTTTGACTGCTGCTGCTTCCTGCTCTGGTAACAGCATGCAGAGTGAGCGCAGAGCAGAGGAGGGAGAGAGAAAAAAAAGAAGCTGGGACCACGACTCTGCCTCTGGGTCTCACAGGGTCTCATATGGTTGTACAATGGAGCTTCTGCTATTATTAGCCATGCTAACGTAAACGCTAGCTTTGGAGGGCGGAGTTAATGTCAACAGATTTTTGGAGGGCGGAGTTAATGTCAACAGATTTTTGGAGGGCGTTACCAACAGAGCTCATTAACATAAACAGCTCTTCTGAATGGAAGTCAGAGCAGGCAGAATTAGAAAATGGGATATTTTATTATCTGAGAATTATTTTGTGCATTAAATTGAATGAACATGGTCTGGATAGCCCACAKACATACCATAAAAATTTCTAGGACCCATAATTGGTCTCCTTTAATTATTGTGACAGCTGGTATCAAAMATATCATAAACTGCAATGAGTCGAGTTTGGATTTGAATCCGTATGTTTTAAATGCAATGAGAGCAAGAATGTTTACTAATATTAGACAATAATCTGGSTATTTAGTGATATWTGCACAGTTGTGGTMTWCACTGGTCTTGAAATAAAATTCAGAGTCCTCAATGTCCAAGACAAGACCAAGACMATCAAAAAGTGGTCTTAAGACCGGTCTCAAGACCAAGACCGGTCTTACTACAWCACTACGATCAACACAGCAGCTAATCTGCACATCTCAAACCACATGAYGTCCARTCCGGTACTTTAATGGTTAGGACTCAAGATGATACAACTGGTCAAAGGGGGCCTATGGGGAGGCACCAAATTTTTAAGGCATATCCACCACCAACCCACCCCTCCATGCCACCCCTGTTATTGAAAGGTTAAAAGCTCTCTTTCTATGCGAGTCCCAGAAAACCATGCCACAGACCTTAAGCAATCACCACACCAGAGGTGMAAAACCAATACCTTTATTTGCTCTTTAAAATCCCAAAAGTTCACTAGGCTTGCCCTGCCGGCCCACAGGAATGGCAGCAGGACCTACAACAGCAACTASCTCAGGAACGGCACAGCAGCCAGTGAAGCAGAAATTATCAGGATTCACCACAGCCAGCAAGATCAGAAAAACTCCACAGCAACAGGAAGCCTCCAACATCCCGTTTACACACTTAGAGCACCAAGCTCTAGTCTTCATACAGGAACACCAAGTCCCCTACATCGCAGCACCTAACCCCTTTTCTGTCATCACTGGCAACCCTCAACTGGCTGCAAACACACTCACCCTCCACAAGGTACAGGACTGTGGAATATAGAAAAGTAYAATAATGCARTGAGCTGCTCATTTAAAGTTTGAAAATAYGTTGATTGRTAGGTTGATTTAAATGTGTTTGTAATCCTTAAGAAGGCGTTGTGTAACTTCGACGGGACAAAGCTGCAGTGCATAAATAAGAGGTAAGGACAGGAAGGAGAGAGTTTAATCCAATTAAAAATTTAAGCTGTTTGCCATCAGGTACGTGCCGCTCAAGCTGCACTCCGCCCTAAACTCGCACGTGCCTCCAAGTAAGAGTGCTGACCCCGCCCCTTCGACTCTTCTTCTGCTCATGCGCATCGGGTTTCTCTACTACCACCATCATCATCATCACCACCCCGGAGCGTTTCTAATCTGGCGTGACTCTGGTACCCAAAGCTTCATCCAGACCTCTGCCTCGTCGTGTCCAGGTGGAAAGGCAGCGGGGGAGACTCTCTGTCCGGCTCACACCGACTGTTTAGCGGCCGCTCTTCAGCCCACGAACACCAGCGGTGAGTAACAACGTGGCGCGTGCGGCGGCAATGAAAATTGCTAAATGAAGGGGAGCTATTGATTCAGTCCTCAGCGCGACTTCATTTCTAAACAAGGCGGCAGGTTTTTTATTTTATTTTATTTTTTTCTTATTACTGGTTCCGTTTGCTTCACTCGGCCGCCGTTATACCCTCGTGCTTCCGCTCAGAGGATCCCTCCACAGCGTGAACGTAGTGAGTTTCGGGGTGGCGTGGTGCTGCCTGACGCTATTTTTACATCCACAGCGTGAAGGTTGCCTTGTCCCTGTCTGCCACGAGCTTTCGGTTCGGTTCGGTTCGGTTCGGTTCTGTTAACCGGGCCTGTCTCTTCAGATGTGTAGAAACTGAGCCATGTGGAGGACACCGAACCCGTCCGACGACCTTCAGTCTGTGTGGTAACTAACCCAACCAAATGCTTAATTTGACTTAATTCAAATTAAATAAAGCTGGTGTGTTTTACATTTCTGGACTCACTAATGTACTGAAACGATGTGAAAACATGTCTGTCCCAGAAACTGTCTTTAAAGACAGAACTTCAGCAAACTGTCTTTGATAAATGTCCCAAAAGTACAAACTTTTTCTGTGGTTAGAAGTATTAACCTGCTAAACTTTAATCAAATGACCAGAAATAAACGTTTTGTTCACCCCAAAGATAAACGTTGTTCAGAGAGAGGCTAATTAATCTGCTGCTGCTTTTTTTCATCATCCACACCTGTACAATCTCAATGACTGTAGGCTTCAAACTACTTTATAAACTAGATTACACTTTTGTATTAAGTGTACAAGCWTGTCTAGAGTTGTTAATGTTTAATTTAAGCAGTTAATGTTGTGTTTAATGACGTGTATYCACTAAAATAAATAAATAAATTTGGTGTACCTTGATTTCTAAAGCTTGGCCTCAGCTAGAGAAACCTTGTGTTGGTCAATCTCTAAAACTTCAGATGATGATGATGATGGCATTTCAACATTTGTGTTGGGCAATGTAACGTTCTGACACATAAGAAGTGTATGAAGTACTTAAAAAAAGTAAAAAAAATACCTTGTAATTAGGGATGCACCGATATGAAAATTTCAGCCGATATATATATCTATTATTGTTATTGTTATTGTTATTATTAGTGTAATGGCCAATAACGGATTTACCAATATTACACGAGCATACAAATTATTTATATACATATATGCACAAACACTTATTTTATTTATTTATTTTTTGGTGTTGGTTATTTATGGCTGTGCAGCCTCTATGATGATCAAACAGATACCACCCGACCAAACATTTCGCCTACCAAAACAGAAAGAAAAAGCTAAAAATGGTAAATCAAAATTGGACGTTAATGTCAGCCCCGTTTTACATATCGAGCGATACCGATGTTCTAAAAAATTACTAATATAGGCTGATACTGATGTCAATGCCGATGTATCTTGCATCCGTACTTGTAATAGAATATGACTTTGGCAAAAATGAATTTCCCTGTCCTTAACTCATTAAAAAGCTCACAATAATCAGAAAAATAAACATACTTTTACACCCTCTAAAAAAAATGAAGTGTTGAGTTTACTTAACTAAGTTATGTAAACTGGTTCCCATAAACCGATTTGAGTAACTGTAAATTAGATGAAACTTTTACTAATGTGTAAATTGTTTAATTTGCTCAACTGTTCAATAGATTGCGTTTACTCAACTTCAAGTACAACTCTTCATTTTAGAGTGCATAAATAACTCCTTTCATGAGTTTCGGTTATATTTAAATTTGTTACGTGTTCTTTAATGTAAAGAAGTAAAAGTTTTGTTTTGAAATGTATCAAAGTAAAAGTGATCAAATTCCAGACTCTCAAACATTGACTTTATTATGGTAAAAGAGTAACTGTACTGTTWCTATACACCTCTGCAAATAATGGGTTGACGTTTTCAACTAACAGTCTGGTGCAGGCAGTGTCCCGTCCTGGAGTTCCACTTTCTGCTTGGTTTTATAGGTTTCTSTGCTCCAACAYAMCTGATTTGAATGAATGGGTGATTAGCGGGCTTCTATGGAACATGAGGTGATTTAATCATTGAATGAAGTGTGCTGAAACTCAGAAAAGAGTACAACATGCAGGATATCAACCCTCCAGAATTGGGACTCTCCTGGGCTGTGATGTTGAAAGTCTTTTTGTTTGTTCAGGAAAAGTAAGAAGCATTGTTTAAAGTTCAAATGTAACTATATGATAAATAGTATTCTGGTTACTCTTCCTGTATGCGATCAAGGTGTGTTCACTTCACTCCAACTTGCTATTTTTAGAGGGTGGTCGGTACCAGGCAGAGAAACGACGAATTCAGTGGTTAGAACCAAGACTGCAGCTGAGTCAGCGCTGATGGGAACGTACTTAAAGTATTAGTTTTTTCCAAAAGATTCATAATGGAACAACTTTATTCACATGGTCATTTATCTCTGTTTAGCTAAATAACAGTGAAACAACACCCCCACACACACCCCCGTGTGTGTGTGTGTGTGTGTGTGTGTGTG